TTCGGCCAATCAGGCTTTTTCATGCGGCGTTTTCGGCCAATCATATGTTTTCACAGAGCGATTTCGGTCAATCAGGTTTTTTCTTACGGCGATTTCGGCCAATCAGATTTTTTTTTGCCGCGACTTCGACCAATCAAGTTTCTTCACACCATGGTTTCGGCTATTCAAGTTTTTTTCATGCTGGGGTTTTGGCCAATCAGATTTTTCCATCCCCTGATTTCGGCCAACCAGGTGTTTCCTGCTCAAACACCTGATTGACTGAAACCATTGTGAGAAAAAATCTGATTGGCCGAAACTGTGGCATGGAGGAATCTGATTGGCGAAAATCCCAGCATGAAAAAATCTGATTGGTCGAAACTGCGGCATGGAGGAATCTGATTGGCCAAAACTGCGGCATGGAGGAATCTGATTGGCGAAAATCCCAGCATGAAAAAAATCTGATTGGCCGAAACCACTGTGTGAAAAAACCTGATTGGCCGAAATCGCGCTGTGAAAACACCTGACTGGCCGAAACCGCTGCATGAAAAAACCTGATTGGCTGGAACCGCGGCATGAAAAAATCTGATTAGCCGATATCGCGCTGTGAAAAAACCTCATTGGCCGAAAGCACTGTATGGAAAAACCTGATTGGTCGAAACTGCCGCGAGAAAAAACCTGATTGGCCAAAGTTGCAGCATGAAAAAGTCTGATTGGCCGAAACCGCGATGAGAAAAACGCAATGGGACGACATCATAGTGGACAGAGGTCATGATATTCATACAGATTCTGGAATCAATAGAATCATATAGAATCAATAGAATCATATAGAATCAATAGAATCATATAGAATCAATAGAATCAATAGAATCAATGGAATCATAGAAACAGCTTTTCCCCCCTTGGTTTATGTGCAATATCTTTTGAATTGCCATTATTGATGTTTTCGATAACCCGTGTAAAAAAAAAGGAGAAAATTTTGACTTGTTAGTACTTTTCGTATTAATTAAGTGAAAAGAGTTGCGTTTTGCCACTAATTTTCACTTTTGAAAGCAACTTTCGACATTTTTTACAGTACTTATTATCACTTTTTCAGTAGATCAAATATTTGAAAGTACTTTTGGATACTATTTGAAGTACATTATATTACTTTTGTAAAAAATAATAAAGTAGTGGAAGTACTTGTATGTATCATCATTATTACTTAATAGTACTTTGGTATGACATAAAGTATCAAAAGTACTTTTGGACACTATCTAATGTATTTTTTAGTAGTTCTTTATAACATAAATTTTAAATATACTTTTTGATACCACTTGAAATACTTCATAGTACTATCTTATTTGATAAAATATTAAAAGTACTTTTGGATACCTTTTGAAGAACTTAATGGCACCTTTTTATAATATTCCAGGCCAAACATTCAGACTACAAGATTGTACCTTTTGATCTTGCATGCCTTTTCAGCATCAGATGGATGCCGTACGGGAAATTTTTGTTTCTGAAATATTAACAGTAAGCCTTAATGTACAATTCTTATAATATCATACGCATAATTGATACTGCACAACCTATGTGAAATACGTTAGTAAAAAAAAAGACTTTCAAGTACTTTTAATATTAATAAATTAGAATGAAGTAAATTTTTTCTATCTACTATTTTTCACTTTTGAAAGTACTTCATACTTTTTCTCACTTTAAAAAGTACTTAGTAGTATTTTTGATTCATGAAAAGTAGAAAAAGTACCTTTCAATATCTTTTGAAATACTTAAGAGTACTTTGCGATACTTTTAGAGGTGCTTAACAATAGTTTGCGTTGAAAAAAGTATCAGGAGTACTTTTCGATACTTTCAAAAGCATTTTCACTTATAAAGAAAGTGAGGAAAAAACAATTTTAAGAGTTTTGTTGCAAAGAAAGTCAAAAAAGAAGCCTTTTCTACTCTATTTTCACTAGTCAAAGTAATTCGGATGATTTTTTCACTTTGAGAAGTACTTGATATTACATTCCTACCTTATAAAACATTATATAGTACTTTCTAGCACTTTTGAAAGTGCTTAAGAATAGTATACAAGCTTCACTGAATAAAATGAGACTCCGAAGTTCCTTAAAAAATAGTGAAGAGTACTTTTTATAATTTATGTCATGAAAAAGCATTGTTCACAATGAACACGTTGCAGAAGATACTCTCAGAGGGGTAGGTTATCATTTACCCCAAATTGGTCACCACAAATGCATTCCTAGTAAAACCCCTATTTGGGGATTTTTCCAACCTTGAAATATATCATACATCCTATAGTTGAATACCATTCATTTTCTTTTCCAAGACCATATTACCAAAAATAACACTTCCAAAAGATATGACTTCGAAAGTGTTATTTTTGGTAATATGGTCTTGGAAAAGAAAATGAATGGTATTCAACTACAGGATGTATGATATATTTCAAGGTTGAAAAAATCCCCAAATAGGGGTTTTACTAGGAATGCATTTGTGGTGACCAATTTGGGGTAAATGATAAACATTCTCTAAGAGGGGAAACACAGTAGAAAAGATTAACTTATGTCACTTTATATATGTAAAAGGTACTCAATCATTTGGAACTAGGGTTGTTGCAACAAAAAAGCAGAAATTTTTGAAATATTCAAGAATAAATTTCCTCGCAAATCGAGGATGTGAGTGTGAGATATGCGTGCGAGGTATGAAAGTTGGAATAGGTTGGGTTGTATTAATAGATTTGAGTCTAGATGAGTCAGAAAAGTGTCGTACCTGTGGATGTAAATGCAATCAACAAAACATTCACACTTCACACTTATGCCCAAAGTCACGACCGCACTCATCTCGATCCGAATCAGAAGCGATACATCTGTGTTCTAAGCCATCGTATCTGGTATTAGTCATTCATTAGATATGTGTTTATGCCACATGCTTTTAGTATCAGAACTGAGGCATGTATACGTGCTACCAGGCTCCAAATGGCAAAATTGTGTTTTCTTACACTTTTTTAACTGGCTAAGTACTTCGGAAAGCATCGAGAAGTAATTTTAGTACTTTTCATAACATGATAGTGCTCTTAAATCCCTCGAAAACTATCGAAAAGTACTTTCGACTCAAACATGATTAGTGACAGTCCAGACAATACGAAAGAAAAGTCTTCATAAAATCTCACTGTACCATTTTTCAGCGAACTAGATTTCATGAAGGGTGTTCTTTCTTCTTATATGGACAACTACTTGTCATGTTCCTGTGGATCATAGGCTTACCGAGAACGCTTTATCAAATACCAAATATGTATGTGGAGTTCGGCTCTATATATCATCCAGCAATAGATTCTCTGACTCATTTGATCTTTTCTTTCACGAATCAAGTTTCAGGAGGCCTTTTCCTCGTATTATGTGAAGAACTATTCGTTTAGCAGGGCTCGAAAACCGTACAGTACTTCCCGACAGGAAAACTAGCGGATGCAAAAGTATCTCATAGCCTAGCCCTTGAGAAATCAAGAATATTGTGTCAATTAACTCTTAAGAACACAAAGATACCCTCGCATGTGGAACTTGAGAATCTCAGAATACTTTCTTTAGTTGTCTTTCAGGACTCTAGGGTATTCTTATATAGTAGAGTTAGAGAACCAAAGAGTATCTCTCTCTAGTAGGATTTCAAGACTTAAGGGTATTCGTTTATGGTAGTTCTTGAGGATCCAAGGACAACTCTCTATAGTAATCCTTGAGGGTCCAAGGGTACCCCTCTGTAGTAGTGCTTAAGGAACCAAGGGTACTGGTCTATAGTAGAACATGAGAACCTAAGAGTACTCCTCTATTGTAGGACATGAGAACCCAAAGGTACCCATCTATAGTAGCTTTTAAGAATCCAAGGGTACCTGTCTATAATAGCCCTTAAGAACCCAAGGATACCTCTCTATAGCAACCCTTTAGGACCCATGGGTGCCCTGTATAGTGGTAAAGAATGATTTTACGTTGTAATTGCGCAATCTCAACCGATTCAATAACTCACCTTATTCGAACACGATCGAATTTCTTCAAATTCCGGACTTCCATCTCATCCTCACCCTCAACATGCCTTCTTCAGTTAAAGATAAATATCTAAGATAAGCGAGCGATTCCAGAACAAAATTCTGAGAATTAGACTGAAGCAGAATCGGATGAAACCGGGTGAAACTAGAAGGAATCGTAAGACATTCTTAGCAATTCTCAGTAACTCCGTCCAACTCCGAAATTCCATCTAATATCCGGAATCGAAAGGAATTTGCCGGAATTACTGTGAATCAGTGGCAACTCCATCCGATTCCGTCTAATTTCGTGTCGATCGAATTTCTGGAATTCCGTTCGGGAATCGCTTGCTTATCTTAGATATTTATCTTTAACTGTAGAAGGCATGTTGAGAGTGAAGATGATATGGAAGTCCGAAATCGGATGCAATTTAGGAATTTGAAGGAACTCGATGGTTTTCGAATAAGGAGAGTTCATTCGATGATTGGGAATTCCGGGGCCGAAATCGATTCTACAATGTGCAACATCGCGGAATAGGATGTGTTCTCATTGTGTTACTTGTCGTAAACGACGTCATAACATCGTCTGTTTTAGCTGACCTGTGTATGACTCTTATTGGAAAGTCCATATAATTATGTTGTAAGACTAATACACGAAAACAAACTCATAAAACTATGAAAAAAAATGTTCTACCCTCTTGATTATACATTCGTGTTGAAACTTCTTTTCAGAATAACTTTTACTCAATTATTATGAGTTATTGGCTTGTTTTCTTATTAATTGTTGTTCTTAGTTACTGACTTTCTTTCAAATATGTTTTATTTTTCATTATGCTGCCTGACTGATTAATTTTACTTCCTTGAATCATCAATTCTTCTTTTTCTATAATCCAACGTGCCTAATAATAGTAATAAGGTGTGTGCAGTTGCAAGTATTTTTTTTCTGTGTTCTGAATGAATCCTCGTAACGAAAACTTGATAATCGAGAAACATTCTCATTTAGGCGATTCCGGTTACCAAGATGCATAAAGTCGATGAAAGTAGCAGCTTACTCAACAAAAAAAAAGTATCATGTGCTACCAATGATTATCATCAACATTATTCATCTAGCCTTGAATGGACAGAATCTTCTTGGACAAGATTTTTACATGCACTCTTTTGGTGGTGGATAAAACCGATGCTGTATAAAGGATATAAACAACAATTGACAACAGATGATCTTGATGGTGTACCTCAGATTGATAAAGCTTTGCTGTTATTAGAAAGATTATCTTCTTATGATTGGTCATCAACGACAACATGGCGTATTGTTTACAAAGAGTTTTGGAAAGATTATGTGTTTGCCAGCATTCTTATAATTCCTCGTATGATAACAAGTATCTCTCAACCATTACTTCTTCGTCAAATTCTTTTGAACATAATGAATGAAAAAGGATCAAATACTGCTAGTTATATGTATGCCGTTTTACTGTTTATTTCAGCACCTGCACTAATGTTCATGCATAGACATAGTATGTTTCGTTTGGGTCGTATTGGTGGACGAATTTTAAATACACTTACTATGATAATTTACACCCATGCTTTGTCTCTAAAATCAGTATCATTGAAAGAAATGAATACGGGTCAAGTGATTAACTTGATCACTAACGATGTATCGCAGTTTGAAGAACTATGTCTATATCTAGCCAATTTTTTTGAAGGAATTATCGAGACTATAATCATATTCATCTTACTTTGCTGGATCATGAAACCTATACCAACATTGTGTGGCTATGCTTTATTTCCTGTATTTATTCTTTTTCAGTTATATATCAGTCAAAAATTTAGTCGATATCATGAAATAACAGTTATAAGAACTGATAAACGTGTAGAAGCTTTCAAGGAGTTCATTAATGGATGTCATATTGCTAAAATGTACAACTGGGAAAAATCATTAGGTGATCGTATAGTTGAAATGAGAGACAATGAATCAGCAAGTATTCGACGTGCCTCGCTCTATCGTGCTCTCAATATGACTATATTTTTTATGTCAGCATCACTTTTTGCACTGACGACATTTGGAAGTGCTTGGTTCCTAGGTTATCCATTGACTATCGACAATACTTTTCCAGCGCTTGCATTATTTTCTGTAATGCGTGTTCATGCCATGTATTATATTCCATTAGCAATAGAGAAACTAAGTGTAATTAAGTCTGCCTCAAGAAGAATAGATTCATTTATGCGTCTTACTATGAAACAAGACAATCAGTCTCGATTGCCCATGTCTTTAATCAATGAGCAAGAAAAAGGCAATATCATGATTTCTAATGCATCTTTTTCCTGGCATGAGGACACACGTTTTTTATCAGTATCGAATCTAACTATCAAAAAAGGTGCATTGGTCGGAATTGTTGGACCCGTAGGCTCTGGTAAATCGTCTTTTTTTGCTGCTATTCTTGGTGAAATGAATCTAATCAATGGTCTATTGAACACAAACAATAGTTCTTTTGCTTATGCAGCTCAATCACCGTGGATAATTGAAGATACATTTCGTAACAACATTCTTTTAAATAGACCACTTGATCAACAACGATACAGATATGTAATACATGCTTGTTGTCTCGATGATGATATTAGTATATTTGGGCCTATCGAAGATCGTATTATGATCGGAGAAAATGGGTTTAATTTAAGTGGTGGACAAAGAGCAAGAGTGTCGTTAGCTCGTGCCTTATATACTGACGCAGACATATATCTACTTGATGATCCGTTATCTGCTGTTGATCGTAAAGTGGCTAAACAGATCTATGAACGATGTCTTGGTCCATTCGGATTGTTGAGAAATAAAACTCGTTTACTAGCTACTCATCAAACTGAGTTTCTCAATGAAACAGATCAAATCATATTTCTTTCTCATGGTCATGTTGATCAACGAAATTGTTTGAATGAAAGTATAATTAGAGAAAATAACTCAAACGAAAATGAAACATCAAAATTAGTTAGTCTACTTGATGATAACATATCAATCGATAATTTTCGACCGATTGTGACTGATGAAAAACTAATAGATGATAGTTCTATGTTCTCTACATTATATCATCTATGTTCTGCACCACCATTCAGTAAAAATGGATTCTGTATACTTATAATTGTACTTCTCTTGGGCGAAGCATTAAATAGTGGTTCAAACTATTGGCTGAGCATATGTTTGAAACAATCTGGAACGAACCAGCAAATTTCGTTGAAATATGCTTTTATCTATTTTTGTTTGATAATAGCAGCCGTAATTCTAGATGTAGTTCGTACAAATTATTATTTCACAATTATAATAAATGGTTCCAATAGTTTACACAAGAAAATGTTACGAGGACTTTTACATGCATCAATACAGTTCTTTGAAAGTAATCCAAGTGGCCGAATTCTGAATCGAGCAAGCAAAGATCAATATGTTATCGATGAGTTGCTTCCAGTAACCTTATTGAACGGTGTGAAGGCATTGTTACTAACACTTGGTTCACTATTCATCATTTGTTTCATTGATAAATCTCTTTTCCATGTACTTCTCATTATAGTAATAGGAAGCTGTTTGATAACTTATTTTTATCAAAGATGTTTGCGTCGATTTAAAACACTTGAAACTACCACTCGTAATCCAGTTTATGCACTCTTTTCATCATCTTTCGATGGGTTACCAACGATTCGTTCATTGAAAGCTGAAAATAGTTTTATTCAATTAATTGCTGACAGAATTGATAAGCGTACATCTGCATACTTTCTAGTACAGGCTGCATCACAACTGTTTTCAATAACAATGAGTATTTTTTCTTCTTTCATATTAATAGTTACTTCGGTTCGAATAATACAATCTCATGAACGTGTGGAAGCATCAACAGCCGCACTAAGGTTAATGAATGCAATGTTTGTTTCATTATGGTTTCAGTGGGCACTTCGAGAGTTGTCCGAATCCGATATAATGATGATCAGTGCCAAACGTATCGATGAGTATTCACGTTTGCCATCTGAAGAAGATCGAGGTGGTCACAAAGGTCTTGTAAAAGCTTCATCAGAATGGCCAACTGAAGGAAAAATCAAATTTAGAAATTATTCATTACGTCATCGATTGAACTCGGAGTATGCAATTAGGGATATTAATTTCTGCATAGAGTCTGGTCAGAAGATCGGCATCATTGGTCGAACTGGTAAGTGTTAATACTAAGACGATAGGTTTTTTAAAATCTTGTATGTTTATAGGTGCTGGAAAATCATCCATCTTCAAAGGTCTATTTCGTTTTGTTCATCGATCATGTGTCGATGGTGAAATTCTTATTGATAATATTGACATTAGCCGCATCGCACTTAATCACCTTCGATCTCATATCAGTGTTATCCCTCAACAACCTATCTTATTTAGTGGAACCCTTCGATACAATCTTGATCCATTCAATCATTATTCTGATGAGGAATGTTGGAAAGCTCTTGCCGATGTTCAACTTAAACAGTTTGTCAGCAATCACTCAGCAGGTCTTCTCATGTCTATTGATAAATCAGGTAAAACGTTGAGTATTGGTCAATGTCAATTGGTATGCATTGCACGAGCAATTCTAAAGAAAAGTAAAATATTATTGATCGATGAAGCAACAGCTAATGTTGATCAAGAAACAGATGATATCATTCAAGCGGTATTTCGAGATAAATTTCAAGATCGAACTATTCTGACAATTGCTCATCGATTGCACACAGTAGCAAGACATGATCGTATTCTTGTATTGGATAGGGGAACAATGGTCAATTTTGATACTCCTGCAAATATTTTACATTCGTATTATTGATAATAATATAATTTTTAATGACGACAGAATAATGAGAACTTTATTTTTTAAGTCTCGAACTTCATCCAAATAAGTTATGTATTGCTCGACTGCTTCTAAAAACATTAATTAGCTTACGTCCTTTTGCTGGATCAGTTTTAAAAAATGTTCAGCTTAAAAGGGAACACATTGAACTGATCAATCGCTTTTCAAATTTTAGTGTTACCAATTTGTACAGCTTTTCGAGTTATTAACTAATTTCTTTTTACTTACTTTAAATACTGACTTCTATGAAATAAATAAAAGATCAAATGGGAACTATCTTCTTATACACGTTCCTTCATTTTCTTTATCTTTTTCATTGTTTATTTTTGACATCGACAGCTTTAGGCTTTTTCTTCATTTTATAATAGGTATCTGTTAAATTTTATTTATGATAAAAAAAAGGCAGATCTTTTAAACATAGTCATGATCGATGGCAAAAAGTTATTTTCAAACTGGTAATGTGATATCAATCATGAAGTGCGAAAAACTAAACACAGTTTCCATCTGAAAATCACGAAAAAAAAAACAATTCATCGAAAATTGAACATTGATAGAACACTTGCTATATGATGTATAGTCGACTCAACACATTCTAATTTTACAGCAGAACGAAAAGCGAGGATGTGAGTCTCAATGTGACTAAACAGATTACTGTTAGCTCTATAATGCGTATGGAGACTATATCATAGAGCTTATCACTATAACATATATGAATCTTTAGCTTACATACATTGATCGTAATGTAGCTATTGATGTATATGTGATGCAAGATGTTGATGAAAATAATAATGAAATGTATTCCTGAAGAATATAATAACAAGAACGATAATATTGAACGAAATCACATATCAAGAGTGGAAAAAACGAACAATATCCCTAGAGAATATACTGAGTTAAGGGTACCCAAAAAAGTACCCTGATACCAGTATGTCACAGGAACTTTAGGGTACCAAAGTACTTGCAGGTACTTACAGGTACCTAACTGGTACTTTGAAAGTACCCTGCTGGAAAATGCACAGTAATTGGGTACCTGAAGGTACTGATCAAGTACTGAATTGGGTACCATTGTATAGTATTTCTAAGTACCCTGTTACCAAATTTTCAGTATGTTCAGGATCGAACCTGATCTTTGACTCTTTAAAATTTTTTCTTTTTCTTGAGATAATTTACTACATTTTTTTTACTTTACTCAATTTAATTTTTTCAATTCCAAAAACTTAGCAGGAACAATGTCGGAATCCGACTCAACTTGAGTTGGTCGTAGACCACTTCAGGGTAGTCCGATCTTAATTTACGACCATGCTCGGCATCTCCTCGACTAAGAAATAGTCAGGAAATAATTTAGAAAAAATTAGTATGAAAATTGATTATTTTCTTATGATTTATCGAGTTGTTTATATAGAGCCGTACGTAAAAAAGAAAACGGTGAATGAATAGTCGCCACACAGAACGCAACAAATTTAGGATACCCTGTCGAGCTTTCCTCAGTAAAGTTACAGACTTGTGTATCCATGCAGGTACTTATTCAGTGAATGTACTTTTACGGGTACCCCAAACAGTACATACATCAGTAAAATTACTGAGAATTTTCAAAGTACCCATACTGGGTACCCTGCTAGAGCTTTCTCAGTACATGGGTACCCTGGACTCAGTACTTTCTCTAGGGATATACGTATATATGATGATCGATCACGTGAGTCTAAGTGGTATTGGTCATCCAACATATGACGTAATACCATATAACTAATAACACAATAGTTTAGCGGCAGTGAGTGACATCTACTGATGCTAATACTTTCCCCTCTCGAGATTATCAATCATATTGTATGTGTGTCCAATCTAATGAGATCGAGAGGAAACACAAATATGACTCACATCACGAGTGGAAAGAAAATGAGCAACAAAACCGTATATAAATATAAGAAACGAAATGTGAACATGTCAAACACATAAGAGAATAATGAAAACATGAAAAAACAAAAACAAAGTATATGTGTATATATATATATATATGAACGATTAAAAGAAAAAGAAAAAAAGATTAACGATATTCTTGAAACCATTGTTTAAAATTGTTAGAATCAAAAATATGCAATGATAAAACTTCAGTTGCATGTAGCAAATGTAATGAATTATTAAATCGTATATGTAAGGTATTAGTTGATAGAATAGATAAACTACCATATTTAATATGATTTAACTTCAAGAAATATTTTAAATGTCCGTAGGACCAGAAAGAGGAAATTTCTCGAGTTAACCTCTTGGATCCCGCTGTCTTCAGACTGAAGACAAGCAGGACAGGCGAAATCGACCAAGTTTGACAAATGAAAATGATTGGTTGGAACTTTTACAGAAAATCCTACGAATTTTTCTACTTCAGAAAATGCCAAAACTGTCCGGTGCTCCTCCAGCATTCTCGAGATATTCCTTAATCTAGTTCCAAATTATTGTAAAACTAGCGCCATCTGTGTTACATTTTTGTTAATATCTCCAGAATGCTGGAGGAGCACCAGGCAGTTTTGGCATTTTCAGAAGCAGAAAAATTCGTTTGATTTTCTGTAAAAGTTCCAACCAATCATTTTCATTTGTCAACCTTGGTCGATTTCGCCAGTCCTGCTTGTCTTCAGTCTGAAGACAGCGGGCTCCAAGAGGTTAATACATAATTTTGTTGAACACTTTTTAGTTTCATACGTCATTTTTTATTACGACGATAAATTGCTTCAATAGAACGTTTGGTATTCTTATTAAATAAACTTTGATTTATTCCCTTTTCTGAAAGAAAGGGTCTTATAATCGAAAAATGTATGTATGTTTGTCTGTCCAAGCCAATCAGAAACGAGCTTTTCTATTTTTAGGTTTTTGGGTAATGTGATGACACTTTTCTATAGGTTATCGGGGGCGAGGAGTCCGAATCTGAGGTCGGATTTCTGATCTGAACTTTTATTGGTCGAGAAACCGACCAATCAGAAATGAGTTTTTCTATTCTTCTGGTTTTCGACCATTCTGATGACACTTTGCTATAGGTTATCGGGGGCCAGGAGTCCGAATCCGAGGTCGGATTTTTGATCTGAGCTTTTCTTGGTCGGAAAACCGACCAATCAGAAACGAGTTTTTTATTCATCGGATTTTCGACGATTCTGATGAAACTTTGCTATAGGTTATAGGGCCTGAGAAGTCCGAATCTGAGGTCGAATTTTTGATCTGAGCTTTGATTGGTCTGGAAACTGGCCAATCAGTAACGAGTTTTTCTATTCGACGGGTTTTCGACCATTCTAATGAAACTTTGCTGTAGGTTATCGGGGCCGAGAAATTCGAATCCAACGTCGGATTTTTGATCTGACCTTTCATTGATCGCGAAACCGACCAGTCAGAAACGAGTTTTTTTTATTCATCGGGTTTTCGATCGTTCTGATGAAACTTTGCGATAGGTTATCTGGGGCGAGGAGTCAGAATCCGAGGTCAGATTTTTTATCTGAGTTTTCATTGGTCGGGAATCCGACAAATCGGGAACAAGCTTTTCTAGTTTTCGCGTTTTGCACGGCTTGGTGAAAACTTGCTACAGGTTATCGAGGGCTAGGAGTCTGAAGCTGGGGTCGGGTTTTTCGTTCGAGCATCCACTTGTCAAAAATCTGACCAATGAAAAAGAAGTTTTACAGTTTTTGCAGGTTGTGAGTGTTGCGATGAAAAGTCGTGTGTGGGTCGCATGTTATGGTTATTGAACATTATATTTATAGTGATGGGTCGAGGGAGTTGTATGGATGTGCGTAACGGGTGTTGGTGTTAGTGCGGTGGCTGAGATACTCTTTTGAACTACTCCGATACATACGCTCATACACTCTAGCGATCACAGCCACAACTACAGCCAAAATGACACCAACATCAACACTGTTAAATAAAATGAGAGTAGAATTTTTCGAGGGTGAGGAATACGGATGAAAAGTTGGTTTGTGGCAATGTTGAGGTTTTATTTTTCTGGTTAGGGAAGGGTTTTTTGGAGAAATCAAAGGTCTTGTTATAAAGTTTGTATGAAGGTCTTCAAGATGAAGCACTCGAATCTAAAGTGAATTCGTCTTGATATCTCTATTGTAGGGCAAGCATATGATGTGTTCTGAGAGTATTGCTGAAAATTCAGTGAAATATTAGAGGGGAAGATGTAGGAGAGATAGGAATTATAGGGATATAAGAGGCGTAGGAGACATAGTATGTGTAGAGGACACAGGAGGTGTAGATGATATAGTAGGTATAGGGATACAGGAGATATAATAGATTTAGGCGATATAAGAGATACTTCAGATATAGGAGGCATATGAGATATAAGAATTATAGGAGATATAAGATATATCAGAGATACAGCAGGGATATGAGGAATCATATATTAAGGACGGCCAGTACAGAAAAAACTTTCAGAAGAAGTCGATTCACTCAAATATAGTGCTTCTTTTTCATCAAATATAAGTTTTTGATAATTTCATCGAAAATACAAATAAAAGTATGCAGATCAACAAAAGAAGACAAAATGCGCAGTCGATAAACAATCAACAAAAATATAAGCCATTGAAGGATTTTCCTTGCAAATTATTGCATTTTTAACGGCAGAAAATATTGCAAATATACAAAAAAAAAACCAGAGGCAAGCCTCAATCTGATGAAATGACTCCGTCGTTTCTGTTTTATTTTAAGAATGTATATGAATACGTGCCATACGAGCAACGTAAAAGCAAACATGAGAAAAAGAGACAAAAAAATATGTACACATATGTCTGAAAAGAAACGAAAAAGATAATTGATAAATCCAAACATATGTATGTACATTGCAAATGTCCTTGAACATGACCATGAGGAGTAGTGACGATTAGAATCCGTTACACATCTCTCCGCCATGATGCGAGTGTATTTGCATGAGTACAGACCGAGAACATAACCGAAACGATAAAGAAACAGTGTAGAAAATGGCAACGGAGAAAGAAACTAATCTG